AGATATGAAGGTTTGAAGGAAGTTGGTGATAGCTAGAGAATTCTAAGGTACAAGCTTGATCGGAAAGTGGAAAAAGAACATGGGATGGAAGCTTTTATTGGGGAAATATGTGACGCTTAGCAACCAGCCAATGGTTGACACGTGTCCGAAGTCAGAACGACGCAACTGATGGGACGTTTCGACTTCTTCGTCGTTTCTATTGTAACGTACGGAGGAAGGAACTGGAGATTATCTGTATCGTCTCGGCAAACCTACTCTCTAAGAAATGGGGGGGCTATCTGTATACGTGTAAAACCGAGGCAAATGAGCACCCCGATTTTTCGGTGGGGCAAACGAACCAAGGACGTTATTACAAGGAATCGAAATCGAAGTTGGGATCCTTTCGCATCAAGGCCCGAACAAAATAGCTGCCCTCGGATCCATAGAGATCACCCCCGATCCGGTTCGAGTTCCAAGACCTCGGAAAGCATTACCAAACGTCCGAGCACAATTAACAAAGGGCCGTAATATCCGTGCCTAGCCGGATATCACGGCGTGGATCTCGGCCCGTATCGGCAGCAGATCAGTGATTAGCGAAAAGGAAGATCTTTACCTTTCTTAGAATTGTACTTAGGGTAAAATTCTCCTACTATATAAAAGGGAAGTTTATTATTCAATAAAAACACTGTAACACACATACTAAGGCAATATACATTTGTTCTCTCTGCTTCTAAAAGTTTTCGAAAGTTCTTAATTTTGCTCATAGTTCTTCATAAGTGTTTGGCTCCGAACCGAAGGCAGGCTAATTGTTAAGCTCATACCGAGCCCGAACTCAATACTACTACTGGTTTGGCTGTTTATTCTATCTTTAATTTGCTTATCTAACGTTATTAATCACTTGTATTGAATTAGTCCATATATCCATAAAATCGCATATAAAGTTTCTATACTTTGCGGCTATCGGATAAATAGTTTCGGCTATGGGCTAAGCGATCTTTGCCCTACTTTATATTTAGGAGTAATTAGTTTGGTACATGACTGCAAATGAATTGGATTTATGAGTTTAAACTGCAATTAATGAAAGTCGTAGCCAGTAAAAAGACGGCCTTAAGTACTCTCTATATGTTCTACCATGACATTTGCAAATTGGCTATATTACACTAAATGTCATATCTAGATAGTGGCTATATTACGCTATATATACAAAACGGGTATTTATTAACATGATTAATGATATAATTAGATAAACCTGTAGTACTCTCTCTATATTCTTGGGGGGCAAGAATACAAAAATAGCCAGAGATTTATTACTGCTAATTGAAAATTAGTCATAGTTTAAAAAATAATCGAAATATAGCTACTTTTTTATGTAAAAATAAAATCTGAACAAAAACACCCTTAAAAATCTAGAAAATTCCAGCATAATATGCTGGAGTTCGAATTTTTTATATATGAGATTCCAGCATAATGTGCTGGAGTTCCAAGATAATATGCTGGAAGTTTGTACGCAGGAATTCTATAATCCAACATGTTATTCTGAAACTTCCCGTATTTCAGCTAGATACTAATGTTCATATATTATCTCCGCCTTAAATATTGACTACTTTTCAATAGCTTTACAAACACCAGTTATTTTTCAATAATCATCTTTAAAAATGGCTATGCTATGCCATTTTGACCATATTCTACCATGTGAAAAACTTAAATAAAACTGTATTAAGTTCTTGATGTCATAATAGCGTGTGAGTAAAAGCTAACACGTTAGGCAGTTCAGATACAAAGTGGAGTTGCATGACAAATATAATTAATGAGATATAAGATGTGGTTGGTGGGATAATAAATTGATATATCACCAATAAATAAATTAAATAATAATTGTATTCACACGAACGAGTATAGATCTAAGATGTTAGCAAGATCTTTCGTGTTACTTCCTAAGATTTAGGCTGGCAACAGCAAGTCCAAATAATTGCAAATTAAATTTCACATGAATATATTTTTTTAATAATTTTTGCAAACTGTTAAATTGGTGTCATGTGTTTACACTAGATTTCTTGAAACTAGACAGATTTATAGAATACAAGATTAGCTAATAATTCATTTTGCCTAATGCAAACTTAGTGCTAACAATCTTATAACTTTGACATAATTTTATTAAAAAAATATAAGTCCATATCACTACTAGAAATCTGGGCAAAACCGTCCAAACAAACTGACCAAAGTTGGTCGGTAATGGCCAATAACCGTCCAAAACGCGACCATTTACGTGTGGACGGTATTTTGAAGGTCGGAAGGGCATACCGACCAAAGTTGGTCGAAAATTACCGACCAACTTTGGTCGGTTAATTAAATTCAAAAAAAAAAAATTGCTGAATTCCGACCAAAGTTGGTCGTTATTTTAGTTATGTAATTAAAAAAATGCACCATCTGGGAATCGAATCGGGGTCTGTAATGTGGCAGGTACTATTCTACCACAAGACCATTGGTGCATTTTATTTTAAGAATGTCTTTTATTTCATTTATACTCTTTAATTGTATTTTCGCACGAAAATAACCGACAAAAGTTGGTCGGTTTTTTAAAATGACCGGCCGAATTAACCGACCAATTTTGGTCTATTTTTTTAATATTAATTTTAATTTATTTTAAATGAAAACCGACCAAAGTTTGTCGGTTTCTTGAAAATAAGTTTCACGGGACACAAGAATAGTTTCCCGCATTTTTGCGCCAAAGAAAACCGACCAAAGTTGGTCGGTTTCGTAAAAAAAAATATTTTGAAAAACCGACCAACTTTGGTCGGTTTTTTGACCGATCAAAATTGGTCGGTCGACTTTGGTCGATTTTTTCCGAATTTCTAGTAGTGTATCGCATAGTTTTTTTTTCCTGTGGAAATTCCCAGAAAAATCCATTGTCGCTACTCTTCGGCTACACACTGGGTAACTTGCTCGTTGTGCAATAGCTTGCAAGCTACACAAGAGATATAAAATGCACTAGGTAAATCCGGTATGACGAGCTCTGGCTGAGGAAGGTGGTTGGTAAGGGGAATCTATCGCATAGTTTCTTTTGATAAAATTTTATAAAAATGTTGTCTCAAATTACTCATGAGTTTATAGTCTTGATTACAACCTTGTATTCATCTTCTTCATTGATGTTATTTAGAAATACAAAATAAGGATATGAATGAGATCACATTATTGTTTATTTTAATATTTATTTAACAAATGGAAATTAGAGAAGAGGCTTTTTTTTTCTATATAGGAAAGAGGTTGACTTTGACTACTTTTTAGAGTTTTGATTATAGAGTACGAAATTTTGAATACTTCCCTTTTGACTTTCTTATTGCTTATAAATCTTGCTTACTTGGGATATTTCTCATTCTTTTCCCTCTATTTTAGGAGCTTAAAAGTGTAAAATTGCATAAATAATTAAAAGAGCATTTAAGATTTGACACAATTATCAAGATAAAGATAAAGATAAAGAAGAAAGTATATAGATAGAACGGAAAAGGGCCAAATATACAGAACGGAAAAGGGCCAAATATACCTTTACACAATCAGAAAAGATTTATATGTACCCTTGTTATACTTTGAATCCAAATATACTCATGTTGTTATACTATTGGTTTAAATATGTCCATTTTTCGTTGAGTTTGTCCAAAGTGGACATCTAATCCCACGTAATACTGACATTTGATTAAGTGGATACCACATGGCTTGCTACCTCAGCGTCCTAACCCATTTTACCCCTCCCTTCTATTTTTTTTTTTCACTACGAAAATTTTTTTCTCCTCCGTCACTATTGCCACCATTACTGCTACTATGAAGAATTGTTGTATTTCAAATTTTAGTCTTTTATATATGGATTAGGGGCGCTAAGGTGGCATGCCACGTGATATCCAACTCATCAAATATCAATGCCACGTAGGATTGGATGTCACTTTGGACAAGCTTAACAGAAGACGGATACATTTGAACCAAATAGTATTACGACATGAGTATATTTGTATCCGAAATATAACGAATGGTATATTCAAACATTTTTCTCGTAGATAGAAGCTAGTAGCTAAGTTTGCTGCTGCTTTTTTTCTGTTTTGAAACCAACAAGTGGTATATATTCTTGCTTGCATTGGCTAACCAACCCAAAAATGGAAACAAAATTCATGATTGATCTTGGTGGAATTAGGCATGTAAGATCATCAACTTGTCATAGCTGTAGATGAGCTACAGTCTCACCTTTCAATTATTACTAGTATTATTATCATTATTGGTGCAACGGTAAAAATTGTCGCCGTTTGAGCTAAGATTATATACACGATATATACGGAGGCGGAGCCAAAATTTAAAGTTTATAGGTTTTAAACTTGCCGCCGAATCTATTATAGCTCTTTATAGTTACGGAGTTCACAATTAAATATTTACACAATTTTTTTAATACAAATATAGGGTTTAAGCAAAAGCTATTGGGCCAATCTGAACCCGTAACTTATATACTCCCTCCGCCCTTGTATATACATAAGACTTAGTGTGGTCCAACCTTTCTCGTTCTCGCGCATAATGAAACTTAGTGCACTAAACTGCCCTTATTATTATTATTATTAAGGGTCGTTTGGTATGGGGTATAAGAAGGTGTAAGGGTGGTATAAAAATTTAATACCACCTTAATACTCTGTTTGGTTAGCAAATCAGGTATAAGTTATCCCGGTGTTAATTTTAAGTTACGGGTTCAGATTGACCCAATAGCTTTTGGTTAGCACCGGTATAACTTATACCTTCTTTTTAAAAATTATGCAATTGTTATTCTTAATACAACATATCAGATAATGAATAAACAACAATCCCATCATAACTTATCTCAATATAACTTATACCAGTATAAATCGTATTACAACCAAACGACCCCTTATATAGTGTTACATCATAGAATAACACATAATACTACCAACAATTGCATTTACTGGTTTAGCCGCTATTTCCTCCCACTTGTGTGTATGGGCGTTAGTAGCAACCAATAGGGGTGTTGTGTTTTGGGCGGTGCTACTTGCTGTGGCTGAGCAAAATCCAAAAGCTTTTGCATTGAAATCCACAAAATAACAAATAAAACTAACCAATCCATAAGCTTCTCTTTAACTATAATCCACACATTTCATCTTTCTTGTTTTGATTGGTTCTTTGCTCAACTTACCATTTCTTGTCCCTTACTTCCAAGAAATAGTGAGAAAAATAAAGGGTAGTGGTCAATTTTTTTATTTTTTATTTTATTTTTTTGTGATGAAGAATTTAGGTGGGTGATTGAATAAAGGGACAACCCCACTTGTGTAAAACTTCCATACTTCAATCATCCATTATTTTCTTCTTCATTCATCTCCATTTTATTGCTTCCTTTGTGTTTGTATAATTACCTCAATTGGGAGTCTAAATAAACACATTCACCTAGTTTTGGTTTTTCAAAATATAATCTTTGATTATTTCAAGAAAGAGGTTGATGACCTTTATTTGTTCCCCATAAATTTGTACTATAAAAAGTTGGTATTTTGGATAAAAGGAGGGGTCTTTGTATCTGGACATATCTCCTACTTTTTTCATCATTAGGGGATTTTTCCAGGTGTCAGAGACCCATATCAGATCTGTTTTCCCATCTTAGAATACAAAAAAAGGAATAAAAATCCAATCTTTATTGTGTATATGAACTGATCTTGCACTCTCTACTGGATTCTTGATATGGGAATTTGAGAACAACATAAATAGAGTAGAAGCTTTCCACTAGCCTTTTGCTCTTGTGTCTAAATTTGTGTGACCTCTTTTCCATTGTTTTGTTTCTTTTTGCTCATAAGAATAAAAGAGCTGTGTATATAGTAAGAGTTTACTTAGTTAAAGCTTTGTTTTAGTCCATTCCTCTCGAGCCGAGGGTCTTTCGAAATCAGCTTCTCTATCTTCCGGAGTGAGGGTAAGGCGTGCGCACACACTACCTTTTCCAGACCCTACTTATGGAATTTCACTGAATTTAATTGATTGATTTTGTTTTTAGTCAATCTTGTTAGACTTTTGGTGAGGCCCACTCTTTGTTTTGGTGGGCTTCATCAAACCAATAGAAGGATAAAACCTGTATTTTTGGAAGGGGATTGGTGGGGATCCCCTTTATCTCCTTTTTAAGTAGAGGTTGTAGTTTAATAATTGTTATATAGTAGGAGAAAGAGGGTAAAAACAAATGAGTTTCTATTTATTTACCTAACTTTTGATCTTCTCCCCCACATGATTTATGCTTAAATTGAGTCATCAAAAACCTTTTTTCAAATGCTTTTCTTATTGATAACTTGCTTCACCTTCATCACTTTCCTTTATAAGTCTCTTTCCCTTAAACCACTTCCCTTATGGAGTTCTGAGGTGAGATTATTATCAATCTATTTTTGGAAAGATTTCTTGATTTTGAACCCTTTCAAGAAAGGATTTTTAGAAGCTGGTTTTATCCCTTTTGTTACCTCAAGAATGTCACTTAGGAGCAAGAATTTCAGCTCTAGAGTAGAGAATGTTGATCCAAATTTAGAAATGTCTATTCTTGATTTGCCTGAATTGGCTTTGGATTGTATTCTTGAAAGGCTTCCCCCTGAGGGACTTTGCAATATGGCCAGTGTTTGTAGTTTTTTGAAAGAGAAATGTAAAAGTGATTATCTTTGGGAAAGACATATGAAGGAAAAATGGGGTAGAGTTATTGGACCTGCAGCTTATAGGGAATGGCAGTGGCATATTGCTTCAAGAAATGATTCAAGTTTCTTTAACCAAGCTAAACAAAGAGGTTTTATGACTTACCTCTCTCAGTTATGGCCTATTTCATTAGTTAGTAGATCTAATTCTAGCATTAGTATCAAGAAAAAACATACCCCATCTGTTGATTCAGTTATGTCTTGGTATCTTGCTCTTGAATCTGGCAAGTTTTGGTTCCCTGCTCAAGTTTACAATCGCGAGGTATCATCAAATTTCCTCCTTCAAAATTTCAGCTTGAATAGTTTTCTTTGTGAAATGTAATTATTAAGATTAGTTTCTTTGTTTCTAATTGCAGAATGGGCATGTTGGTTTTATGCTATCTTGCTATGATGCTGAGCTTAGCTATGATCCAAGAACTGACACTTTTCAGGCCAGGTAATTGGAAATATATACTCACAAATCTCGATTCTTAAATGTTTCTCCTTTTTTTTTTGTGGGCTAAAACCAGTGAGAATTTGCCATTGTGAGCAGTGTCGGAGCCAGAAATTTCACTAAGAGATGTCAAAATATAAAAAAGTTGAACACTCAAAGAAGCTAAGGGGTGTCAATATATAGTGTTATATATATGAAAATAATTTTTTGACCTAGTTACACAATGTAATTTTCCGGCCAAGGGGTGTCGTAAGGTGGCTGCGGCCGCTGATTGTAAGTTAGTTATAAGTTCCTACTACTTCCTTTTTAGTTCAAGAAATGCTTTTCTTTTTCTAACAGTATATATCAATGAGTTGTGAAAAGTTAGTTTTGTTTATATAATTTATTTGCAGATATCCTCCACATGGAAGGAGGGCAATTGCAATAGAGACAGGTGTAACATGGGATAGATTAAGAGCTCCCCCTCTTGATACTTCTCCACATGATCTTTATATCTCTGATTGCTTGACTGAATTATGCCCTGGTGATCACATTGAGATTCAATGGAGAAGAAACAAGGAATTCCCTTATGGTTTGTTCCTCCATTAACCTTTCCAACATTCTACCATTTTCATTCTTTTTGAAGAAGTGTAATTATTTGCCATACTGTATTTTGGGGAAGGGGAGCTTTGGCGTAACTGGTAAATGTTGTTGCCATGTGACCAGGAAGTCAGGGTTCGAACTATGGAAACAGCCTCTTGTAGAAATATAGGGTAAGGCTGCGTACAATAGACCTTTGTGGTTCGACCCTTCCCCGGACTCCGCGCATAGCGGGTGCTTAGTGCACCGAGCTGCCGTTTACTGTATTTTGGTGAAGTTAGGTACTAATATTCCTTAATTGTGGATGATGTGTTAGAAAACAAACTTCCTGGTAGTATCTAGGAAAGAGGACTAATCCTAGTCCCATTTCCAACTTGTTAGAATCTTTTTCTTTTTTCCAAGAAAGGTTCTCTTTTTTTTCTCTTGATATCTCAAAACGTGTTCAACTGTTAAGCCTGCCTTAATTGACCACAACTTTTTGATGGACTTAGTGGAACATTTTCACTATTGATGAACTTTGGAATATATTTTCAGCAGTACATGTTGGGTGTGCTATGAACAAGTTAATTCCTACTATGTCTTTCATTATATATGATATTCTTTTCTTTTTAGTTGGTAGCGTAGTTTGTAAAGTTGCCTCCAAGTGACCAGGAGGTCACTGGTTCGAACCTTGAAAACAACCTTTTGCAGAAATGAAGGGTAAGACTGCATACAATAGACCCTTGTGGTCCGGCACTTCCCTGCACCCCGCGCATAGCGGGAGCTTAGTGCACTGGGTTGCCTTGTTTTTTCTTTTCTTTTTAGTCTATTTTAGAAGAATGATTTTTTTATATTTGTAAACTCTTTCCGTCTTACGATTAATGACGTGCTCTTACAGCCGTAGAAATATCATGGGATACAAGTTTTAAAAATACTTTTGTTACGTGTCAAAAGTCAATCGGTCGTTCTTAAACTTTATATCCAGTCAACCGCGGTTGTATAAAATGAATTAAGAGAAAGTCATTGTTTTTTCAAATGGAAGGTGGCCAGTCTTTCTTGTTTGGTAGAAAGTTGCATCAGCAGAAACTTAGGATTCCTATTTTTTGATTTGAGTCCACTGTCAATTTCTTTCTAGGAAACGTGACTTACTTTGATTGGTGTTTGAATCTTGAAGATATGAACAAATCTATCTTTTGGTTTTGCAATCTTTGAATTTTTTTGGCATACTTTTGCAGGCTGGTGGTATGGTGTTGTAGGCCACTTGGAAACATGTGATGGAAATGAGCTTTACTGCCGTTGTCATGATAGTGGTGAGTTATTTCCCCTTTCACATCTATAGCTAGTAGTGTTTTTTAGCCATATACTTTTACACTAAGTCAATTGGAGAATTTAGTGAATAGCTTTACTTACCACTTATCTGTCGATTGCCTTCTTAAACGGTCTAAAATCTAAGATTTAGCTATATCCTTTACACCACTAACTCCATTACTAAACGGGCCAAAATCCAAGAAACGTAAACATTAGTATCCGTGCGCGCACGTCTAATTCAAGATCACAAGTCTCATTGTGGTCCACTATAAGAACAACAAGATATATAGTATGGTTAGATCGCTATTATTATTATTATTATTATTATTATTATTGTTATTATTATTGTTATTGTTGTTGTTATTAACCATCCGAAGAAAGAGTTGACCTACAAAAGCTTGTGGACTTGCCTAGTTGTTTCCATTCAAGATTTTCACACACACGTGTAGGAGGAGAAAGACATCTTAGCTGTGGATATAATTTGAGTATGACACATTACTTGTTTGTAGTTTATGTGCTATACATCTTTAGTTATTACATGATGTGTTATTCTTATCGGTAGTATTGACATTATTTTTGTATTTTTGTATTCCTAGATCTTTGTTATTATATGTTGTGTCATTTGTTTCCGTTGTTCTATTATCTGGTTAGTCCTATTGTTTGTTTATTGCTTCCTTTTTTGTTCTTGAGCCGAGAATCTATTGGAAATAGTCTCTCTACCTTAAGTAGGGATAAGATCTACGTACATATTATCTCCCAGACCCCACTTATGACATTTCACTGGGTTTGTTGTTCTTTACATCTTTAAATTTTTTTTATGAAATTGCCAATTCATCATTATCACAAAATAGACTTTTTCTTGAGTAAGGCCCCTTTTGGACTCCCATCATTTTGCATGTGGGCCCATCTTTTGTGCCACACAATTGGTCCCCAAGACAGTGTCCTATTCAGTTTGTCATCTTTTCTTCCAACATGATCAAAAGTGCTGTCTCAGTGGAGCATATTTAATGATAAGCAAACTCAAAGAGACTTGTAATTTTCTCAGCCTATGATTCTTTCTTGTGGAGCTGGAATGATTCTGCCTTTTAATATTAGATTGATGTTATTGATCCAAGATTTTTTTAATTTTTTAGTCATACTATTCTTGATGAGGATTGCGTTAGTGCAACGGTAAAGTTATCTCTGTGTGACGTATAGATCACATATTCGAGCCGTGAAAACAGCCATTAATACTTACATTAGGGTAGGCTGCCTACATCACACCTTTAGGGGTGCGATCCTTCCCCTGCGTGAATGCGGGATGCTTGTGCACCGGGCTGCGTTTTTTAGTCTTACTGATATTGGTGAATTCTAGAATCCAAGTTTCACATTTAGTACACCAGTATGCATAACTAACTTCACATCTCTAACTTTTCTTTATCTTTTCCTCAACACTTGTCTTTTTTTGTGAAGTTTGTCAAGTTCTTACATAGTTAAAGATTTAACTTCTGGACCCCATTTCTACACCGTAAGTGGGCGTTTGGACATAAGAATTGTAAAATTCTAAAACAGGGTAAAAAAAATTCAAGTAAAAATTGTATTTGAAATTTAGAGTTGTGTTTGGACATGAATATAAACTTGGGTTATTTTTGAAGTTTTGTGAGTGAAAATTTTGAAAAACAGTTTTTTGTAGTTTTTCAAATTTTCGAAAATTTCCAAAATGCATCTTCAAGTGAAAATTGAAAATTTTATGAACAAACGCTAATTTCGAAAAAAGGGAAAATTTTTTGGAAAAAAGGGAAAAATTTCTTATGTCCAAACGGGCTATAATAATATTACATAGATTTTGAGCTCATCTTTTAGTGATAGTAGCAAAGCAAAATATGTTAGTATGTTTGAGATGGTGGTACCTTTTCAGGGTAGAGGTAAGGTCTGCGTACACACTACCCTCCCCAGACCCCACTTATAGAATTCCACTGGGTTTGTTGTTGTTGTTGTTGTTGTTTGAGATGGTGGTATGGTGACTAGATGTACATTCACTTTGAATACCTTCTATCAGTTGAGAAGATCTCCCTCAAAAATGGTCAAGTCCTAAAGCCCTCATTTAATCAATCAATCAATAAATTACTCTTCAATCCTAAGTCGGCTATATGAATCCTCTATATCCATTTCGCTCTAAGACCTTCATTTAGCCAAGTTCTCTTCTCTCAATTAGTTGAAACTTTATGTAAGGTTTCAAAGGTCTAAATTTTCTCACATTTAGTCAAGCTCTGTTCTTGAAAATTAATGCTATAAATCTTTGATGTTTATGAACCAATACATAGGCAAATATAAACTTTTTCACTTTGCAACTCAAAAACTGTTTCATTGTAGTGTATTGTCATGGTTTCTGATTATCAATGTGGTACCTACAGATACTGTAATGCTAGAGTTCAATCAGTATACACCTGGATCGCGGTGGAGAACAACAACCATTGATAGGAAAGATCATCGCGAGGAAGGAAATGAAGCTGATGGATTTTATGGAGGAATTCGGAAGCTTCACAGCAATGAAGAAATTGCTATGTGGAGACACCTCTGGCCAACCGATACGTTGGAGTAAGTTGAAAAAGAGTATTTGGAATTTACTCGCATCATTGTTGGCAAAAAATCGCCATTACAAAAGCTCATTTGGTCCATCAGAATGTGAAAAAGTTACACGAGAACTTAGAAGTTCACTTCCACTAGCATTTTCAGTCCCTATTTTCAATTATGTCTATTGTTTAGTGATCAGTGGAGGAGTTAGAAGAGGTTATTTTGATAATGCAGAGATTGCCTTATTTGCTTCTCCATAGGTCCAAATTGTTTGTAAAATAACTACCACGTTTAAAGATTGATTGTTTAGTGAATCTATTAAAGCTATAGTTTAGCTTCTTGTACTAAGAAATTAGATTCTTGATTTGTCTTTTACCACTATTATGGTTTCTTTTGATCAATGAAAGGATAGATGCTTAGTTATTATATTTATTAAGAAAAAAGGAGCTAATTAACCACCACAGGTATTCCGTAAAATAATCGAGGTGCGCGCAAGTTAGTCGGACACTACCATTATTTAAAACGATAAACGAAAGGAGCTAATTTACTGTTTCCATGTCCAGAAGATGAAAGTATCAGAAATGAGTATGTTGAGATGGATGTTCGGGCATATAAGGAGAAGATGAAAGTATCATAAATGAGGATGTTGAGATGGATGTGCGGGCATACGAGGAGAAGATGAAAGTATCAGAAATAAGGATGTTGAGATAGATGTGCGGGCATACGAGGAGAAGATGAAAGTATCAGAAATAAGGATGTTGAGATGGATGTGCGGGCATATGAGGATAGATAAGATTCGGAATAAAGTTATTTGGGACAAGGTGGGAGGGCCCTTGTGGAAGACAAGATGCGGGAAGCATGGCTAAGATGGTACGTGCATATAAGGAGGAGAGGCACTTTTTTTTTTTTCCGAGATTGGTTTGTTCTTTGCAAGATACAAGTAAATTGACATCTAATAATACATAAAACTTCTTTTTTCAAGAGATAATGTCACAAATATTTTCAACTCTATTTGGAACATAAATCACCTGTCCTATCAAATGAAAATCCTATGACATCTTTCCTTTCACTAAATAAAGGAAATTTCAAGTTTACATAATAGAAAAATAAAGAACCAAAAATATTATTGATAGACATATCTTTCTTTAAGCTTTTTCAAGTCCATAACCCAAACAAAGTGCTGGTTTGTACTTCACAATCACCAACTTTGGCTCCACTCCATTTGCCTTTATATTCACATTGCCATTACCATTTCCCTTGAACTTGAAACTCAATTTCTTGAAATAATTTGGCTTCCATATAGCTAAAATTGGATTATTCATCTTTCCTTCACTATTCTCCTTTCTAAATGATGCATATTTCACTAACATTCCTTTGAATTTTTGCATTTTGGTTTCCACAAACATATCCCCTTTTGAAGTGGGCTTGTTGGGCTTGGGCTCTTTCTTTCCAAAAAGCAAGTTTTTGGGCTTCTTGGATACTTTTGGGCCTGGCCCAATAGTCATAGAATGGTCTAAAACCCATCTTCCATATGATGCTCCCTTGGCCTTAGACTCAATGGGCTTTGTTGGATTTGGGCTTGAAGGTTGAATTGGTGTCATGGACACAATTTCTTGTCTCATTTCCTCAATAGTCCATTCCATGTTGTTGGCTCTAAATGGTGAGAGTGACCTTGTGCGTTTATGGTGATTTGAATTGAAATTTCTCCCTCTATTTTCTTCCTTCATCACCTTTTGCATGGCGATAACGAAAGGATCAACGTTTCGGCGAGCAAACGGAGACTTAACCATTGCACTCGGAGCGATAGTTGAACATGTAATCGATCGTTGGCTAGTATATTTCATGTCATTGTCACATTGGAGTCTTGGTGGTAGTTTAAGGGGCATGACTTGACCATTAGAGAAAATTTCGTCCGCAAATGCCATCTCGGGGAGTGAGCCACCCCGCTCTCTTCGTTTTTCGTGCCATGATTGATCATCCTCGGAGTGCTCAACGTTCTCACACGTCTCAAACTCCATGCAGTTATCAAACTTTTTACTCGTTTCAAATTCAAAATCACTCAAGGTCAACTCATAGTCGCCATCAGTTGTAGTTCTACCGAACCTTTTACCTGGACTAGTCGCAGCGCTATGGTACTGCACCATGTAAGAAGTTGGACTAGTTGGTGCAGTCACATAAGGAGAAGTTGAAGGTGGAGATAAAAACTCCATAACTATAAGGTTGAGAAGGTTTTGAATTTTGCTCTTAAGAACAAAGAGTGATATAGAAAGGTGTTTGAGTGCTTGAATATTTTGCTCCTGAATTTAAGGATTGCCTAAGTCACAAGCACTAACATTCAATTCTAAAATAATCTTCAAACCTAAATTAACATAGAAAATGCTAATTCATGTCCCTAACTATAGAAAATGCTTAAAAACATTCAAAATATTGGTGTATAATTGTTTGATTACAAAAATGGCCATACGTGGACCAACCACAAGAATATTGTTTGCATATTTAGACATTTTATTGCTTCTTTCTTGGACTTTTCCATTGTTCAAAGACCAAAAAGCTTGTTTCTTGAACTTTTAAAACAAACCACTTAATTATCTTATTTTTATTAGAGTTAGTGAAAGATGACTCTTTTGGTCTTGCACGTTTTTTGGATATTTATAATTTGTGGGACCAGACCAAAGGGATAAGAAATACAGAAGTGATTTATTATTCTATGCAATAAAATAATTATATTATTGTATATATAAGTTTGACAGATGTACTTATTAATTTGTCATGTCCGTGTTTTGATACCATTTTATGATTTTGTTTCAATAAACAAAAAGGGAATATAATTTTGCTTTATCCTCCATTTTGTGTCTTTTATTTCCTTTCTTTTCTCTTCTATCCTCTCTATCCCGAATAAAGAATTATATGACCAATAAACGTTGTGGTGGAATGGTAAGTACTCCTTCATCCTTAACCAGGGGTCTCGGGTTCGAGCCCCGGATATGGAATTGTCTTTGTTAGGGAGCGCTTTATCCCTCAATGTGGGACTTCCCGGCGCAAATTCAGATTTAGTCGAACCCTAATGCGAGTACCGGACACTACACCAAAAAAAAAAAAAAAATTATATGGAAGAAAGTACAAGAAGAAACAAACAAAGGCGTGAATAGGTTGTATAGCTATCCAAGATATGATTCAAGACCTATATAATAATAACTTATACTTGACTAATCGGAACCTTTGACTCAATCAATTAATTATGGATTGTCTATTTGAATCTCATTTCAAAAGTCTATAGTTTGAACCACTCTATGATGAAAGCACCCGTGAATACAGAGGCGGATCCAGGATTTAAATCCTATAGGTTCAATTTTTAAGGTTTTTAGCATTAAACCCATTATATTTTTAAAATTATGAGGTTCATATCTGCTATTTATGCAATTTTAATGAATTTTTACATATAGTATTTTACTCCGCGTCGAAAGTTATGGGTTCAGTTGAATCCGTCGACAACACACTACATATGCCCCTGCGTGAATATACCTTTTACAGAAAGTTTCATCCGATATCGCTTCGTCAAAAAAATTTTAACACACATATATTTGTCTTTTATTCGTCAAAAAATCTATTCATATATTTCCTAATTTGTGTTTTTATCCATGACAATTCAATTCGTTCGTATTTCATATCTTCAATTTGCAACTCTCATTTTTAGTTGGACCTTCTGAGTTTGACAGTAAAAAATGAAGCAGTCCAAGCAGAGGCGAATGCAGGATTCAAATTTTTTGAGTTCAACTTTTAAATTTTTTTGTATGGGTAAGAATCCGACCCCACGATAATTAACGAAGTTAATCCCGTCTTAAGCTAATTCATGATTGATTAGTGGTACGACCACTCAGAATTAGCGGTATTCAACCCTTATCTGATTCGATCACCAAGGCCACGGCCCGTCCGTCATCATGAAGGCGAAACCCCAACGTGGTCACGGCCACTTATTGCCAGCTTACAGCTATAAATACCAAGAGAGGAAACCCTAGAAAAGGGGGCTTCTTCTTCTTTACTATTCAAGAGAGAGAGAGAAAGATATAACGATACACATATTATGGGAAAGTGGAACATCATTGTAAGGCTCTGAACCTCTTCATGGAGAGGCAGACCACAGCAATACTATCAATAAAAGCTTTTAATGTCTCTCTTTCTAACGCTGAGTACTTATTTGCGCATCTTTCATTTGGTCTAATGGATTATTACGGTTTGCTATGATTTTTCCGTGATTTATTTATATTGTTTACACTCATAAGATATATGATAACTTTTGAGCAAACAATTTGGCGCCGTCTGTGGGGATTTCCTAGCAAAATCGCGTAGTTCTTCCCTGGACCAAAAGGAAAGAAACACCAAACTCGAAAGGGAACTCGAAGATCTCAAATCAAGATCCAAGTCCTCTCCCTCTCTCCGATCTCATATAGTGCAAACAAAAAGAAGAAGCCCCCCCCCCCAAGGGAGGATCTCTGTAAAGCATCTCCCGCATCCCCGATACGGGCTCCGGCCGAAAACCGGCACGGAGATATCTCGAGCCGAGAGTCGCTTCAAGACAGCCTACATACCTCGATTGGGAAGGCAACGTATAAGATGCTCAAGGTCTCGAATCAAAATCGAGCTTCAGCACCCGATACCCACAGCGTGAGACTCAGGCTATGCGTATTCGCCATCAAAATCGACCAAGTTCAACAACAGTTGAACTGGGACTTAGGCCATCATCCTTCGCCATCAAAATCGACTAAGTTCAACAACAGTTGAACTGGGACTCAGGCTATGCGCCTTCGCCATTAAATCAAGGCTATGCGCCTTCGCCAAGAAGTTCAAATACAGTTGAACCATGACTCATGCTACGCGCCTTCGCCATCAAAATTGACAAAGTTCAACAACAGTTGAACTGGGACTCAGGCCATGAGCCTTCGCCATCAAAATCGACTAAGTTCAACAACAGTTGAACTGGGACTCAGGCTATGCGCCTTCGCCATTAAATCAAGGCTATGCGCCTTCGCTAAGAAGTTCAAATACAGTTTAACCATGACTCAGGCTATGCGCCTTCGCCATCAAAATCGACCATGTTCAACAACAGTTGAACTGGGACTCAGGCCAAGAGCCTTCGCCATCAAAATTGACAAAGTTCAACAACAGTCGAACTGGGACTCAGGCTATGCGCCTTCGCCATTAAATCAAGGCCATGCGCCTTCGCCAATAAGTTCAAATACGGTTGAACCATGACTCAGGCTATGCGCCTTCGTCATCAAAATTGTCAAAGTTCAACAACAGTCGAACTGGGACTCAGGCTATGCGCCTTCGCTATAAAATCAAGCCCATGCGCCTTCGCCAGTAAGTTTAGCTACGGTCGAACCAAGACTCAGGCTACGCGCCTTCGCCATCAAATCCAGCGAGTTCGACCTTGCTTGAACCATAAGGCTAGACGCCTTCGTCCTCAAATCTAATAAGTTCAACCACAGTTGAACCAGGACTCGGACCAAGCGCCTTCATTATTGAACTCAGCAAAACCCAACCTCCAACGAATTGAGGCGCAAGTTAGGCACCCTCGCCCTTCAAGTAAGTACTCCCAACTCAAACTAAGATTGGGGACACGTAAAGTCCGGCCCCGGTCAAACTACAAGGCCGCGTTTCTGTCATCACGGCCGACAGTTCGACCGCGCCCGAACTGGGGCTAAGGCTAAGTGCCGCTATTGCCAAGCAACGGCACCGACTCGCTCACCCCGAGTCGAAGAAGAAGAGTCGTCAACAATTAAAAACCAACATGCCTATCAGAGTCAAACTCGAAGGCAAATCACCCCTTCGAGCGCATGCAAAGAAAAATCTAAGGGGGAAAAAGATGAGGTACAAAATAGATACAAGGCAAATAACGGAACGGAGATCTCATTTATCCACGAAATTAATTGCGGGTCATCCCCGCTTACACCCGGCCAAGGCCGATCAATACAAGGAAAGAGAAAAAAGAAAAAAAACAAGAAACACCTAAACGCCAAATGACGAACAAGACAAGAAAAAATGCATAACATCTTTTTACTCGGCGCCATCCGCGCCACCATCTGCACCAGCGTCAGCCTCTGGCATCGCCGCGTCAAAACCACAGTTGGTACGGGCCTCACGAGCCTTTTGACGCGCTCCCTCGAAAGCAGCTTCGATCACGATGCCGGCCTCCCACAAATTCTTATATACATCACGTTGGGCCTCGGCAAAGACCCAAAGTTCGCGAGCTTGGCTGGAAGAAGCGGCTTGGTCCTGTAGGCGCTGATTCTCTTCTTCTAAGGCTGTGATACGGTCCGCCATGACATGGGCGTCCTGCTCAAAGACACCGATCCGCTCTTCGAGACTCGCTTCTCTAAAGGCCGCAGCAGCCCTCTCCAACGCCCGTTGGGACTCGTGCACGCGGATAGCTTCCGTCAACGCCCCTGCTCTCGGCGAGGCATCCCTCACCTGAAGCTTCAATACCGCGACTTCACCCTCCAACTCAGTCACTTTCCCGCTCCATGCCGCAGCGGCCTCCGCCGCCTTAGCCTGGCCCTGGCGCTCACACTCAGCTGCAGTCCTCCTCCCCGCCTCGAGCTCCTCATCCTTCCGCCGGAGCTGCTCCTCGAGAGCACTCGCTCTGCCAAGTGCTTGTTGCATCTGTACCTCCCGCCTCGCCAGTTCCTCGACCAAAGTCCGACTACGAGGATCATTCCTTAAGCGCACGCGCATCTCTCGGCACCGATCTCGGTAGCGGTGGTACTTCTCCAGCGCCCGCAAAAATATCCCCGAGCGGACGTTGGCTCGACGGATGCTCTCCACCTCCAACAAATAAGACTGCAAAGCAAAGACAACGATTAAGATAAAAGAACAAACTAAGGCAAAGAAGAAGCGAACCGATGTTATACTGCATACCCTCAAGCTCATCACGGCCACTTCATTCATCAGTCTGACATCTGTAACGCCCCTTAACGATGCATTCTCGGCCTCCGAGCATAGCAGCTCGAACTGCGGCACCAAGCTTTCCCCTTGGAGCAATAAGTTCAACTCCGTGGGAACCTCGATGAAGCGAGATCGCCCCTTTGCGCGCACCGCTGAATTGGTGAAGCCTTCCTGGAACATACGGACGTCGTCGGGGTCTAAGTCGGATTCGGACTCGTACTCATCTCCTACAGCATCCCTTCCTCCTTCCGCCACTAGATAGGTGGAACCACCGCCGTAACCACCGAAGGAGCGCTTAACTCACCAACATTAGCAGCCGCTGAGGAACTACCTCCCGTCCCAGCGACTAGAACCTCCAACTGAGTCGCTGAAGCGACGGTATCATCATGGCCTAAGCCAACCGGAGCAACCCCCATTGTTTGTCCGCCCTCAGGGGCAGGCGCCGCAACCGCACTCCTCTCCGCATCCGTCGGGGGGGAGTCCAAATTAATTACCACAGGAGGAGCCGGCGTGAACACGACCCTACGCCTTATCAATGGCCTCTCCTCCTCCCCATTTGATGGCGATTCCGCTCTAGGGCGCACAACCCCCGATGGCCCCTCGTCCCGAAGTGCGGCCCGTGCTGGAGAAGGAACCGCTGAAGATTCAACTGATGCCGCCCTCGGTATTGGGCGCGACACCGGCGCTGCAGTAAGTCGAGCAATTGCACCCGGCCGACAAAAGGCCAACTGAGGGGCCCTGATGCGGCGTGCCCTCCCTGATCACAGAAAAACAAAGTTGATGAATAGAGTTGAAACAAAGCGGAACAGAAGAAGAAATCAATTTTTTACCTGCCACAGGCCTACGGCCATGCCTCTCCCAGAAAGACGCCCATGTGCGTATCCCCACCGTATGGGGGAGCACGGCCTAAACCCACTCACGAATCCCAGCCAACGGAGCCGGCGGCAACTTTTCGGCTACAAAATTGATACGAGTTAACGTTTATGAGCACAAGACGTAAGGAGGGGCAGAAAAGGGAATTCGACGATTAAGGAACTTACGTGCATGATTCCAAGCCTCTGGGAACCCAGTAGAGCACGCCACTAAATGTTCAGTCCTGATGTAGAAGAAGTGCTCGAAAGGGCGAGGGTCGACCTCATCATCCAGTTTCACAGTCAGGCCCCTCGTCCCGCGAGGGCACGCTCGAATCATGGTACCACGAACTCTCTGGGGAGCGTAGAGTCTAAGCACATGCTGCAGCGTGACCTCCCTACCGGCCAGTTCTGCATATTTGATAAGCATTGCTTATAATTTGTAAAGAGAAGGAGCAAGATGACCCGGGCATACCCCGTAATAACGACAGAAATCAACCACTAGCATTGGGAGCGGGAGCTTAAACCCCAACTTGAAGGGATAGGCGTAAAAGACGCAGTATCCCCTGTGGTCGGTGTGGACCCTCTCCTCGCTTCTAGCGAGAACGACGTCAGCATAGCTGGGGATGACCCCATGTCCCCGTAATTGGGCCATCCCAATCTCCCCCATTAACGGGGCTTCATCTACCTGATCCTCCCACCATCGGCGGTGAAATCAGTCATCGGACCTCCGGGCAGAGACACTATCTCGTCGACCGATGGAGCTTCATCGGTCTCCACCGGTTCTGCACCTCCCATCGCCGGAGATGGTCCTTCAACCACCGGAAAGTTAACCGGAAGATCCATCGGAAGAACGTCTTGGGAAGAACTACCTGCCATTGTTGATTCACTAACGAGAAAGAAACAAAATTTGATGGACAAGACGGAAGTTATAACGAGCGAAGAACCAAGATGAAGGTGAAGTAGCAGGAAGAAAAGCTTCTTCAGAATCTCTCTCAGACAAACAATGAAAATATGAGAAGTAAATGCCTCAGCCCTTATTTATAGGCAACACAAGTGGTTTTCATGAACCCCAATAGCCACCATTAAGTACATGACCAACCGCACACCGGTTCGATTCTACAGAAACGTGCGTCATTATGACAGGCTCCATGAAGCAGCTTTTCAGTCGCCAACCGGCGTCTCGACCTCGAAATGGTTGTAACGACCTATGAACGCTGAGGAGATGTTTCGTGCGCTCTCAAAATTTTGGACGTCGCCAAACGCGTATCCAGCGTACCCCTACTCCCTTCGGCTGCACAACATATGACCCGTCCACCATGGTCGACGGTTATGCTCCAAACAAATGTAAGGATCGGAGCGCAACAAAGCTCGACCTCACTCGAATTAAGTTAACGGGTCAGGCGCCTTCGCCAAGGGGGAAAGTTCGACCTTGACCGAACGACGACTTGACAACATAATAACAAAACACTCACACTCTACAAGGCTAAGGGTCGTCGCCAAAGAGAATTCGGCCTCGACCGAAGCGACAGTCGACCTCCCTATCCGAGTTTCTCAAACTACAGTCGACGAAATCCACTCATCGAGCTCGGCCAAGGCACGACCTCAATAAGCGGAGGGACTAACTGTATGGGTCAAAATCCGACCCCACGATAATTAACGAAGTTAATCCCGTCTTAAGCTAATTCATGATTGATTAGTGGTACGACCACTCAGAATTAGCGGTATTCAACCCTTATCTGATTCGGATCAACAAGGCCACGGCCCGTCCGTCATCATGAAAGCGAAACCCCAATGTGGTCACGGCCACTTATTGCCAGCTCACGAAGCTCACAGCTATAAATACCAAGAGAGGAAACCCTAGAATGGGGCTTCTTCTTCTTTACTATTCAAGAGAGAGAGAGAGAAAGATATAACGATACACATATTATGAGAGAGTAGAACACCATTGTAAGGCTCTGAACCTCTTCATGGAGAGGCAGGCCAAATCAACACTATCAATAAAGGATTTTAATGTTTCTCCTCCTAACTCTGAGTACTTATTTGCGCATCTTTCATTTGGTCTAATGGATTATTATGGTTTGCTATGATTTTCCTGTGATTTATTTATATTGCTTACACTCATAAGGTATATGATAACTTTTGAGCCAAACAGATAGCTTAACAGCTAGCAGAAAAGCAGCAATTAACAACATTCCTGGACCAAACTCTAATGTTGCCACCCTTGTTTCCAACTTTCAAAACATTGGTCTTTCTCTTCAAGATATGGTCACTCTCTCCGGTAAATTTAATTTGAAGGGCTAGATGATATTATATTAATTTAACTTATCGGGGTCTAAAAATAAATGTAAGACTAATTAATGTTTATTATATTGAAGGTGCACATACAATTGGAAGGGCTAGATGTTCAACATTTAGTTCCAGGGTAAATGGGGGTAGCAATTCAGACATGAACTTGGATTTCTTGCACTCACAACAGCAGCTGCGCTCAGTTTCTGATACCAACACAACACTAGCAAATCTTGATGACATGACACCATCAACGTTCGACAATCAGTACTACGTTAACCTTCTCTCAGGAAAAGGGTTGCTTGTTTCAGACCAGGTCTTAGCAACTGGGAATGACAATACTAGAGAAATAGTGCAAACGTATGTGGACGATCCATCTGCTTTTTTTTGAGGATTTTAAAAACGCCATACTCAAAATGGGAAGCTTGACCACCAACTGAAACAACCGGTGAAATCCGTATTAACTGTAGCGTTGTGAATCTTAAGACTCCTTGAAAACCATTATTATTTGATTATATATGAACTAAAAGTAAGTTGGCTGGCCCTGCCTACAATGCCAAATTTGTACTATTGATATCATGTCGCCTAACGTGCTCTCTACATATGCTATTTGTGCTTTTTCCATTTAAACACCAAGATGCGGGTCTGATCATCTCAATGCCGCGATCGATTAGCGCAGATATAGAAAAATCATCATCATTGTAACTTCCATCAACACCAGTTGAAAAACACACAGGGTAAGACAGAGACGTTATTATATATAATTTAAATCCTTTTTTGTTTTTCTTCTACTACTATTAGTTTCTTTCACACAGGGTTGTTCTGGTAGCAGAGGTGTATGTAGTATCATAGTACCGGGTTCATCTGAATCTAATACTTTTGATACGGGCTATAAATTTACCCAAAATAAGAGACTAATATAATGAAGTTCTAAACATGTTTTTTACAAATTTGGCTACAAAAGGTTATTTAAAAATATTAAAAAATTTAAAAAGATAATAACATATTTTTTATTATTAAACATGCCATGTGGTCAAAAAATATCCACATGGCAACGAATGTATTATACTTCTTTGACTGATGTCATTCAAGGTGGCGAAATCCAGCAAACTGTCAAGTTGAAAGGGCTAAATAAAATGTGCCAAGTTAGAGTTAGGAGTTAGGAGGTCCCATATATTATGCCTTTTTTAGTAGCCATATGTGCACACAGTAAGCTAGTATTTGGTCATAGATTCCCAAATTTATTTTGAAAAATTTAATTTGGGTGAAATTTGGTTTGAAGATGAAAAAGCATGTGGACATAAGTTTTCAAACCATATTTCACTTCCTTTTTTAAAAAAAAAAAAAAAAAAAAAAACATAAAATATGACTTATACCCACAAGTTCTAAAAACTATCAGAAATACCCAACAGTATCTTTATCAATAACATTCATTATATTATAGCAAACCATAGTCCTGAACTCAAAATTACCATTTCTATACTGAAGTACATAATACAATGTCAGATGACCGAGAAGACGAAGCAACATTGTTACAAAATAATAAATGGTGGGCTCTTTTATAAAATACAAAAGTTTGGAGCAATTTTTAAAAAATGTAATAGTGATATTTTAGGCCTTTTGAGATTTAGGTTTTGGGTTTTGGGAATTTGCCAAAATGCAAATAAAATCAACGGCCAAACATGTATTTGCAAAAAAATCTCAAATATATTTTGGCAAAATTTATGGCCAAACGGGTCCTAAATATCCTACGACTCTTTGTCCAAAACAAAAGTTGTTTAGCACGATATGTTAAATAAAATTAAACTAACAAAACTGATACACCACGATTCATATCGCGGCAAAATTCAACCAGGCCACTAAACATTTCCCGGAGGCCAAAAAAACAAAACTTCAGTTATCAAAGCAAATATCATCATGCTTAAAAAAAAAAAAAAAAAAGCTAATATCATCACAGGAGAGCTGCTTTACTTACTGTCTAAAATGCATATAAAGATAGTAAAACAACTCTTCACATAACTACCTCAGCAAGGGTTGGCAACATTGCTTTCATTGTTGAATGGAGTAACTGTATATTATCTCTATTATTCACATATATCAACCAATTCAATGTCATACTGGAGCCATGAGTCTGCCGGTACTGGAGGCCTAGCCTTTTTACCAAAGCTGCATCGACGAAAGACACGAACACAGAAACTTTTTAAGCGTTGGAATCACAACGAAGAAGTTTAAAAGATGTACATTTTCAGCAAGGATTTGTATATACCCCAAAGATGGTGGAACAGTTAGTCTTCTCTTTTCACCAACATGCATACCTATACAACTTAGTTTAGGCACGTAAGCGACACTATAAATAGAATGCTTAAGATATAAAGGATACAGTTTCAGTCCATAAAAGTGATTACCTTCAATGCCAATGTTCAATCCCTTTACCATGTTCTTGTCACCTGATCGAAAACAGCAAAATAAAATTGGAGTTAAGTGGTTAATGTCAATGGTGGAGTAAAAATATGAAGAGACAAAACTTGTATAGGGAAAGGAGTGATGAGAACTTTCTTGAAAATCAGGGAAGAACTAGAAAAATCCACCTAAACTTTATATACTCCTCATCCGTTTGTCCAGACAACTTCAAAAGCAGTGTGAGTGTGTGCGCGAGGGGGAGAGAGAGAGAGAGAGAGAGAGAGAGAGAGAGAGAGAGAGAGAGAGAGAGAGAGAGAGAGAGAGAGAGAGAGAGAGAGAGAGAGAGAGAGAGAGAGAGANATCAGAAAATGTATCTGAAATGAACCTGTAAGGGGGGAAACCCATGCCCATAACAGCAGAAATGTCAAGATCGGAAGCTTTGACTGCAATGCCTTCTGCAAGCACTCTGCACGCTTCATTTACCACAGGGAAGAAAATCATCTCTATAATGTCCTTGTCCGAGAGTTTTGCGAGCTGGATCAAGTCCAAAACAGTTGAGTAAGAGCAGAATATAATTACTGAAAAAAAACTCAAAAGTAGCATTCATCAACAACCGTGCAGGGCCGGGGATGAGAGAGAGAGAGAGAGAGAGAGAGAGAGAGAGAGACCTAGACGGAATCTATGGGGAGCTTCACCAATGTTAGAGCCAACGACGCATCCTGTACCTCTTAATTTGGCAATGAAATAAATTTTGACCTGGACAAAAGAAAGGACAACTTAGCAGTGATTATTAGCATTGTGTTTGCACCACCTCTATCTGAATTATCAATAGAGTCAGTCACCTGCTTTCCTGTGGAAGCTACTTTTCCATCTTGTTTTCCCTTCACCAGCACCTCAAAAGTCACTCCATTTGATAATGTAAGTATCTGTGGTGCTTTGCAACTCTCGGTGATCTCCTTAGGATTTGCAAGTGAGCTTCGATTTTCCATCTCCAATTGAGATAATATATTTGAGTCATAACGATTTTCTTGGTTTTCAATCTTCCTTTTCTTTTCTTTCGTTCTATCCTGAGAATGGCACATTTCAGTTACTGGTTCGGGACTTTTGTTTGAAGCTCTGCATATTCAAGCGCAAGTCAAAAGTTAAGCATGCCTCAAAAGAGGCTTTTATTAACAAAAGTACAATCATACAATAAACTTAAATTTTCAAAATATTTTTCAAACATAATTTATAGCCTAATTTAAAAATTTCAACTATCAACATGAAACATATTCACTTATGTATTTTAGGTCTGCACTCTGCAGTTTGTCGCTTCACACATACGCTTAATTCTTTTCTCTGCACCAGATACACAAACTATTTTAATTATGTGTCTGCATACAAGAAACTATTTTACGAATGAGTAGTTATGAGACTGAAACCGAAAATAAATTGAGTGAATTATCTAATCTGAAGATAGAACTCGTTTATTTATTTGTTTAGTCTAAGTCTACAACAGACACCAATAAAGCTTATAACAACCATGTTATGAGGCCTACATAAAGCAGCCAGTTTTAGCAACCAGGCTATTACCTTATCAAATTCTATATTAGCTACAATGTATACAAGTATTTTAAATTAGGACAAAAGGAGTAGTGTAACACAAAGATAATTGTGCAAAGCAAACCTTGGCAACGTCATTCCATCTGATAATGCAAGTATCTGATGACATGGCACTCTAATTGATCTCCTTAAGAGTTGCAAGTGAGCTTCAATTTTCCATCTCCAACTGAATGAGGATATATTTGAGTCACAACGATTTTCCTGGTTTTCAGTCTTCCTTTTCTTTCTGTCCCGAGAATGACTCACTTCATTTACTGGTTGGGGACTTCTGTTTGAATCTCTGCATATTCAAATCGCAAGTCATCAAACGAAACCGGTTAGTTAGACAAGAGAAGATAAGATACTAATCTGAATAGCACCCCTGACAGCATTTTTCCCATTCTTAAAGCATCACTGGCACGTTCTTGCAAATAAAGGACTAAATGCAACTTACTGAATGAAAATAACTCAAACGGGCTGATCAGGTTTTTAGCTTCCTTTTTTTTCTTTTTTTTCTTTTTCTTGCTCGTTTATTATGTGAACCAGAATTTCCGGTCAATTCGTTTCCCTTTTACATATCAATCAATTTATGAATAACCCGTCCTTAATAGAGTTTTAAATTATACTTGATCCTAGTATATCTTGCTCTGGGAGTACATTTTCTTGAAGTAAACCAAATTCTATTTGTTCGTAGTACATCTTGCTCGGGATTGGAAATGCATTTCCCTGATCAAAGTTTACAATTGCAGGGATGAGGATATGAGCAAGTCGTATAATACTGTCAGAAAGGACACACTTGAAAGGAAAAGATAAAAAAGCTTACTTTCCAATGATTGGTTTCTGACATGGAATTATAGCCAGTGGACAGTTGCCCTTGTTCATAGCCTTTGGTGTATCTTCTTTGAGTCCGCAATCAGTTGCGATATTATTAAAGCTTGTACCTCTCCCCTCAACTGGAACCAAAAGCTCTATTTTTCCTAGAAAAATCATCTTTTTGAAAATTTAGTACTGGCTAATGAAGCTGGACTTATATGATCAAAGCATAGGAAATTGAAAAATGATATGTCAGGCATCATGAATTTTAGATCTGAAATTTTATAATTATGCATCAGACTCCAAGCAGATGAAACTTAAAGTGAGTTTGTTGCGGATATGACAACAACAACAACATATCCAGTATAATCCCACATAGTGGGGTCTGGGGAGGGTGGTGAGTACGCAGACCTTACCCCTACATTGTGAAGATAGAGAAGTTGTTTCCAATAGACCCTCGGCTCTAGAAAGCATAAGCACCACATTAATGAAAGTTTGCTGAGGATATGGTGTAGTAATACTAACCTTTCAATCTTCATAGCATTACGTCATCTCTCCCCGTGTAAATAAAATACTAACATTTATATCATAAGTAGTATACTGTTCTGGAGGTATAAGTTAATGTAACCTTTTTCATAAAGAATTTTCATAGCTAACCAGTTTGGAATTTTGTTTTACAAGGTCAAGTTTACTAGCTTCGGAGTGATGCATAGTTGATGTACAATTATTTAAGCCAGAAGACTAGTTGATTTGTTCATCAAGTATAATCCGCACACATATTATACTGAAGAAAGATGAGTTCATATTAGCTATATCGGATCAGCTTTCCCTATAAGATTCCTATAGTAGATATGTGATGAGACTACTATCATTAAAATACTATACTGGATGAGCTCGCTCTACTACAGGCTCCTATAATAGATATGTGATCAGCTCTTTGACATGGTGATTACAATGACCTATGTCTTATAAAGACCATCTATTTTCTGCCATCTAAAGACCACTGCATCATTTTTAGCCTTCTCAGCCAACTTGTAAGATTTACAAATTTATACAGCTATTAGTTTCCAATAAAGGCCAACTAGTAATTTCCGAGCAAACAGGTCATGCACGCTGCAGCAAAACTTATAAAACAGACTGCAAATATGATATGACAGCATGTCACGCACCTGCATCATCATTATCATCAGCACCGCTTTGTGTTTCCAGCAACGCTGGTTTGCTAGCTGTCACCTCTATATTTCTCTCACACACTGCATTGCTAATATCTTCTCCATACAAGTCACTTGACCAAAATGAAATAGTAAAGGAAAAGTGACAGAACATGATTGAGCATCAAAATAATCTTTTAAAACAAAAGTAAAAGCAAAAAAGTGGAAGGACAAATTTTGAATTTTCTCTTTCAGATAGTGTAGTGTCACGTTACCCAAATACATAGTATAACTTGGCAAAAGTTCACTCCATTTTCTTATGCTATACTAATGCTGCTGCCAAAGCATGCAACCAAAAACTACACTCAAGAACGAAGGATACACTCCAAGTTCATCAGTTCCAGTACTTTTACTAGTGGTTTCCCTGGAAGAGAGGTAATAACCGGCAAGGTGGACGCCACGTGGACCAACAACTGAGAAAACAACGTCATCAAACTCCTCGAACTCAAGATCCAACTGACAGCAATGAATTTCCTTGCACAATGAGCAGATTGAAATTGGAGGTTGACTGCCTATGGCACATCGAACTATCGATCTTGATTTCCACAATCCACTACGCTCCCCCAGTGTCGCCTGCAATCGTCATCTAAATTCATTCTAGCTCCCTTTTAAATTAACATTTACCCAGTAAAGGAGATAACTCATTTGATAAATTAAATAAACCTGTGAAATCCGAACACGCCTTTTATTATTGTTATGCAACTTTAGTGTGTACGGTTTCCCTGGTTCTATAAAAGCCCCTGAAGAAGGAGAAGATGCAAACTCTTGGAATCAAATTGATCGTAAAAATTGGACCTTTCTGCTATATACAGAGAGATTGAATTTGAGCCAACCATTTCTTTCACATGATTATGTGGCAAACAAGAAATTAAAAGAACAAATCAGACATTTGACAAAAAATGATCAAACATTACCATTATGAACCGAATGCTTTTATATAAAAAAGCAAATTTCCATATAGTTCTATCAATGATCAAACAAATGGGAGAAAAATAAATAAAGCACAAAATGGGAAAAAATAAAAGGGGAAAATGGGTTCAGAATCAAACCCCAAAACGCCATATTTAGGTGTTGAGAAACTTTGCGCAAAGGTGCGGAGCTTGAATCAGTTGCTTACTACAGGAAGGTGAAGTGCGACGTTTCCTATTCTTCCGTTTTAAAGGGTTTTGGGGGTTTATGTAAAGTACTCTTCATTGTCACTGGTTTTCACTTCCCGCGCTTTTTTATTTTTCTTTTTTCTGATTTACGTAGTGGATTTATTTTTCGACCAACTTAATAAACTTTTATAATATGATATACCATGTATTTTAAAAAATTTATTTTTTGAGTGATTTAGAAAAATAATTTTTTTTAAGTGATGTGTCACGACCCAAAAACCGACCCGGTCGTTATGGCGCCTATCGTGAAACTAGGCCAGCCACTTATTTCCAAAGTACTCCATTTACCAATTAAAACTTAAGAAATATTTTTAGCAGAAATCCATCAAGATAAAAGTCGAAATCCAAAACATGCGGAAAGAAATACAAGCCCGACCTCGGGTGTCACTAGTCATGAGCAAAAGTACTACAACTGTTCGAAATAAACAAGACTACATAGTCTGAGAATATCCAACAATTATGCTAAGAGGAAGATAGGGAAGGAGAAGGCGGAACTGCGGTCGCCAAGCAGCTACCTCGCAATCTCCAAAGAACGGTCCACAACGATATAATCAGCAGCAGCTACCGTGACCCGAAATACCTGGATCAGCATACAAGGTGCAGGAGGTAACGTGAGTACACCAACTCAGTAAGTAACAAGTACAACCTATGGAATGACACGTAGTGACGAACTAAACCTCAGCAGGTAATAACATATAACTGAACAGGAAAATAGACATGCTTACAGTTCAAGTAAAGCTCGACAGTATTTAAATGCAACTGAACAGTACAAGTTCAAACCTCAGAGATTTTATATGTACCAATGCACAACTAGCATGAACAATGTTCCATGAACCTCCACTTACAAGTGCTCAACCACTCGGTAGTGTATATGGTCATCCGGCCCAGGGAAGATCCATCCTAGAATATATATATCACTGACCTCAGTCATCCAGTACCGAGGACACAAGCCAGTCCAGCCCTACGGAGAAGATCCATCTCCCGATATATTACTTCGGAATAGATCTATGTCCAGGGAAGATCCATCCCTCAATATCTTCAATTGCGCTCACTGGGGGTGTAAAGACTCCAGAGGGGCTTCTCTCATTAGCCCAAGCGCTACAACAAAGCCAACGAAGGCTTGTTCAATATCTCGCTGTGGCGTGCAGCCCGATCCCATACTGCCACTCAATATCAGGCTCTCGGCCTCATTGAGTCATAACTCACGAGTCTCACACACATGGGCTCAAAATGTCATGATACTAGCCCGGACAATAATATGATGTGTCAAATAGCAATAACCGAGACTGAGATGATATAATATTCATGAATAGGACTGAGTACAGAATATCAACAAAACAAATGATATGACAGCGAGAAACAACCTCTTGGGTCTCAATAATATTGGTGTGAAGCCTTAACATGATAATCAACATGATTCACAGCTCATCAACTAAATCACATAGTTACAACAAAGATATCGGTAAGAAAGAACCACTAAGCGATGCTCTGGAATGACCAGGCCGCGTTTCTCATAATGCACGCCCACACGCCCGTCACTTGGCATTGTGTCACCTTTTTAATATTCATAGAACACAAATGCCTCAAGCCAAGCCAAACTCTAGCCCGCGACGCCTATTCCTCTTGATTCGGCCTCCAAATGCCTCGAATATAACCAAAATCAGTTTATAACCATCAATATACGCTAAAGGAGTGAAACCCATACGAAATTAATCAAATTACATCACAAATCCCGAAATTGACCTAACCCAACCCCCCGACCCACGTCTCGAAATCCGATAAAAATTACATCAATGAAATCCTTATCCTCCCACGAGTCCATGCATACCAAGAATACCAAAATCCGACCACAAATGACCCCTCAAATCCCTAAATTTAGGTATCCAATTTCCAAGCCCTAAACCCCCAATTTTAATCACTAATTGCCACAAATTTCAAGCTTAAACAGTCAAAAAAACCATCATAGAAAGAAGTTTAGGGTCCAAAAATATTACCTCCACGAAACCCTCTTGAATTCTCTCTTCAAATTGCTCTCCCAAGCTCAAACCCGCATGAAAATGGTGAAAAACCACTCAAAAATCGCGAAGGGTTAAATTTATATGTTCTGCCCCAGCTAAACCGCTTTTGCAGTTGAAAACCTCGAACCTGCGGTCCCAGGTGCGCATCTGCGAAATTCACTTAAGTTCCAGGAACCGCACCTGCGCCTTACCTTCCACACCTGCGGTCTTGCAGGTGCGCTAAGCCTTCCGCACTTGCGAGTTCTGGACCTCTTGCTCTTGGCCGCATTTGCGGCTTCCCAAACGCTTCTGCGGCCCCGCACCTACGGTCCCCTAGCCGCAGGTGCGGTTATGACAGGAACTTCAACAGTTACAGCTGCAAATTTCCAACTCCAGACTTCCCGTCAACCACCCGAAATCATCCCGAGGCCCCCGGGACCTCAACCAAAAGCACGAACAAGTCATATACCACTATCCAAACTTATACCAAACTTCGAATCACCTAAAACAACATCAAATCAACAAAATAACATCGGATTCAAGCCTAAGGTTCCAAAAACTTCCGAATTCCGCTTTTGATCAAAAAGTCTATCAAACCTCGTCCGAATGACCTGAAATTTTGCACACACGTCACAAATAAGACAACGGACCTACTGCAACTTCCGAAATTCCATTCCGACCCCTATATCAAAATCGCCGTTACCAACCGGAAAATGCCAAATTCCAATTTCGCCAATTCAAGCCTAAATCTACTCCGGACCTCCAAAACACATTCTGATCACGCTCCTAAGTCCCAAATCACCTCACGAAGCTATCTGAACCATTGAAATTTACATCCGAGACCTATTTCACATAAGTCAACATCCAGTTGACTTTTCCAACTTAAGCTTACTCAAAAGAGACTAAGTGTCTCAAACCTTTCCAAAACCCTTCCGAATTCGAACCAACCAACCCGATACCATATAACACAGATGAACAAAGCATAAAGAAGCAGAAAAGGGGAAAATGGAGTGGTAACTCATGAAACAACCGGCCGGGTCATTACATCCTCCCCCTCTTAAACAAACGTTCATCCTCGAACGAGTCAAGAAACATACCTGAAGCCTCAAATAAGTGAGGATATCTGCTCCGATCTCCCGCTCGGTCTCCCAGGTAGCCTCCTCCACGGGCCGACCTCTCCACTATACTTTCACTGAAACTATATCCTTTGATCTCAGCTTTCGAACCTGACGCTCTAAAATAGCTGCTGGATCCATATCATAGGTCAAATCACCCTCTAACTGAACCGTGCTGAAATCCAGAACATGAGACGGATCCCCAATATACTTCCGGAGCATAGAAACATGAAATACCGGATGCACACTCGACAAGCTGGGTGGCAAAGCAAGCTCATAAGCCACCTCCTCAATCCTCCGAAGCACCTCAAAAGGCCCAATGAACTGAGGACTCAATTTACCCTTCTTTCCAAATCTCATAACACCCTTTATGGGTGAAACCTTAAGTAGAACCTTCTCCCCAACCATATAGGACACATCACAAACCTTCCTGTCAGCATAACTCTTTTGTCTCGACTGTGCTGTACGAAGCCTCTACTGAATCACCTTCACCTTGTCCAGATCATCCTACACTAAGTCCATACCCAAAATTCTTGCCTCACCCGGCTCGAACCATCCAACTGGAGATCTACACCATCTCCCATATAGAGCCTCATATGGAGCCATCTGAATACTCGACTGGTAGCTGTTGTTATAAGGAAACTCCGCGAGCGGTAGAAACTGATCCCATGAACCACCAAAGTCCATCACACAAGCGCGCAACATGTCCTCCAATATCTGAATAGTGCGCTCGGACTACCCGTCTGTCTGAGGGTGAAAAGCTGTGCTCAACTCGACATGAGTACACAACTCTCTCTACACGGCCCTCCAAAACTACAAAGTAAACTGAGTGCCTCTATCTGAAATGATGGAAACTGGGACACCACGTAAGCGAACAATCTCTCGGATATAGATCTCTGCCAACCGCTCTGAAGAATAGGTAGTACAAATAGGAATGAAGTGCGCGGACTTGGTTAGTCGATCCACAATCACCCAAATAGCATCAAACTTCTTCAAAGTCCGTGGAAGCCCAACTACAAAGTCCATGGTGATCCGCTCCCACTTCCACTCTGGAATATCCATCTGCTGAAGCAAGCCACCAAGTCTCTGATGCTCATATTTCACCTGCTGACAATTAAGACACCGAGCTACAAATCCCACAATATCTTTCTTTATCCTCCTCCACCAATAATGCTGTCTCAGATCCTGATACATCTTCGCAGCACCCGGATGAATGGAATACCGTGAGCTATGGGCCTCCTCCAGAATCAACTCCCGAAGCCCATCCACATTGGGCACACATATCCGGCTTGCATCCTCAATACCCCATCATCACCAATGGTCACATCTCTGGCATCGTCGTGGTGAACTCTGTCCTTAAGGACAAGAAAGTGAGGATCATCATACCGGCGCTCTCTGATGCAATCAAACAATGAAGATCGAGAAATCACACTAGCTAAGACCTGACTGGGCTCCGAAATATCCAACCTCACGAACCGATTGGCCAAGGCCTGAACATCAACTGCAATAGGTCTCTCCCCAACAGGAATAAATGCAAGACTGCCCATTGTGAGCACGTGATTTTTGCCTCGCGTGAATTAATCCTATAGGATTCTTAATATTATGATTTTTCCTTTAATTATTTTATTTTTAGGAATTAATTGCATAATTTTCGTGTTTGTTTGCGTTTTTGTGTGCATATTTAATTTACATAATTCATAAAAAATATAAAAATAGTGAATTTGCATTTAGGAACTAATTTTCTACTTTTTAAGATAATTAGTTATTTAATATTACAAAAAATAAAAGAAAATAACAAAAAATAGCTCTCTTTGCATTTTTACTTTTTCGAAATATTTTTTGCTTCCAATTTGGGACTTAACTAA